AATGAGATATACAGTGCCTGCATTCATTTATTAGATTGATAACCCACCTTTCATAATTTAAGCCTCTTACAAATCACCGCACAAACAGTAAACAGAACTGTTTAGAGAAATATAAAGCAATCACTTAAACACAGATCTGTGACACCTATGCAATGAAAAGCATTAACAATCTCAAAGACAGCAATAAATAGAATGCAGATTGATATACGATGTCTTCAGTTTGATTTGTTTATTCAAACTGCTAATGATAGAGCCCTCTGAGTATTCCTTGCCAAAGAAAACCCTATGAAATTTATGAGGTCGCCATAAATTGACAAGTGATGTGAAGGCAGGTATACACACAATGATGAATCTGAATGAATACAGGCTGGAGCACAGATTCCAGAACAGTGTTTCATACTCATTATGCAAATGATTGTGTTGAGTTGTTTGTCAATAAAGCTACACTAGTTGTCCATAGGGCATTCCCAGGAATTTTTGCAGTAAGCAAGAGAGACCCAACGTTTTCATTCCCTGAGTTTCTGAGGCTTACTCTTGGAGTGCTATTGCTTTATGTTTTAGGTTCTGGGTTTTAGCCTGCCACTTTTGGACTCTCGCTTGCTGAGGTGTTCCTGCTAGTATCATTGTAGATCTTAGAAAGCTATTTCTTGATTTAAGGCATTGGTATGCTGGCTAATATCCAAACAGAGGATGGGCCGGAGATGTCACTGCCTTGGTCCTTCCATTGCTGGCTGATACTTCTGACAGATGTCAGGTGGTGCAATACTGGCTAAACAGTGTAATTTCTCCAGCGGCATAGGGCATAGACATCCTGTTATAATGGAGTATGCCTCATTAAGGGCCACATCCACTGTTTTAGAGTGGTGAGATGTATTCCATACTGGGAATGCATTCTCAGCAGCAGTATGAAAGTGCAAGGGCAGATGTCTTCATTGTATCTGGTTGTGATCTCCAGGTTGTGATGGTCAGCTTTAATATGATATTGTTTCTACCACTCACTTTTTACTTGATGTAAGTCAGAGCAGTGCTTCATGTAAGTCAGAGCATGGTCCAGAGTGACTCCCAGGTATTTTGGTGTGCTGCAATGCTCCAGTGGGATTTCTTCCCAGGTAATCCTCAGAGCTTAAGATGCTTGTCTGTTCTCAAGGTAAAAAACAAACGTCTATGTTTTAGATGGATTAGGGATCAGCTGGTTTTTCCTGTAATAGGCAATAAAAGCATCTGAAGTTTCAGAGAGTTTCTGTTCAACCAGTTCAAAGCTCCCTGCTTGAGCAGTGATGGCATGATCGTCAGCATAGATGAAACTCTCTATCTCTTCTGGCAATGGCTGGTCATTTGTGTAAATATTGAACACTGATGGAGCAAGCATGCTCTCTTGAGGAAGGCTGTTCTTCTATTTCCGCCATCTCCTTATCTAACCCTGGAACTCAACAAAAAAGCTCCTGTTTTGTAGCAGATTTCCTATGAAGTGGTAATTCATTGTGATACTATAAGTATAAGAAGGCAATGATTTACAATGTTATATGCTGCTGACAGGTCTATGAAGACAGCTCCTGTAATCAACTTGCAGTATGCAACTCATCAACTAATCCCAAGAGATTACAATCTTCCAGTCAGGACTATTAATAGGATTAATTGTACTCAGCGGGTGTCATATCCTGATGGCTGGGGGATAGTGGTCAAAAAAGGGAGGAGAGGGATGGTGGTGGCATAAAGTCTCATGTGTTTCAGACCTCAGCCCTTCCATGCTGCCACACTTGGTGGCAGGTCCCTCTTGTAAGCACATTCACCTGGCTGGACATTTGCCCTTTCACATATTCAAGAAGGGTGGCGGCGGGATGTGTGTGCATCCACACTGTAGTAGAATGGATGCAGATGGGAATCACTTTACCTGCCATGGCTCAGTGCTATGGAATCCTGGGAGCTGTGCCTGGTGAGTCACCAGCTCTCTTTAGAAGAGGAGGTGGGAATCAACTGTTCAAGTGGGGTGCCAAACTATATTCATTCTCCAGCCTGTGAATTTTTAAAAGACTATTTATATTTAATTCTGTTTTAATATTTGCATATTTGTATATTTCAATTTATTTGTTGTTCATTCGTTCAGTCGCTTCCAACTCTTCGTGACCTCATGGACCAGCCCACGGCAGAGCTCCCTGTTGGTCGTCAGCACCCCCAACTCCTTCAAGGTCAAGCCAGTCACTTCAAGGACACCATCCATCCATCTTGCGCTCCCTTGGTCAGCCCCTCTTCCTTTTTCCTTCCATTTTCCCCAGCATCATTGTCTTCTCTAAGCTTTCCTGTCTTCTCATGATGTGTTGGTTGGCCCCTCTTCCTTTTTCCTTCCATTTTCCCCAGCATCATTGTCTTCTCTAAGCTTTCCTGTCTTCTCATGATGTGTTGGTCAGCCCCTCTTCCTTTTTCCTTCCATTTTCCCCAGCATCATTGTCTTCTCTAAGCTTTCCTGTCTTCTCCTGATGTGTTGGCCGGCCCCTCTTCCTTTTTCCTTCCATTTTCCCCCGCATCATTGTCTTCTCTAAGCTTTCCTGTCTTCTCATAATGTGGCCAAATTACTTCATCTTTGCCTCTAATATCCTTCCCTCCAATGAGCAGTTGAGCTTTATTTCCTGAAGTATGGACAGGTTGGATCTTCATGCGTCCAAGGCACTCTCAATTTGTATGCTAAGGCTTTTATGTTAAGCTGCTTTGAGTCTCCTTCAAAAGAGATAAAGTGAGGAATAAATATAATTAATAGTAATAATAATAATAATAATAATAATAATAATTTCTTTCTAAGAGTAGATCCATGCTATATTATTAATGCCGTTTGACATAGCATTGGAGGCATGACTTCAACTTAGGCATGGGCAAACTTGGGCCCCCATGTGTTTTGGACTTCAACTCCCACCATTCCTAACAGCCTCAGACCCTTTCCTCCCCCCCCCCCCCCGGCTGCGGGGAAAAGGAATGGGCCTGAGGATGTTAGGAATGGTGGGAGCTGAATTCCAAAAACACCTGGAGGGAAGGCTAAAGTTTGCCCATGCCTGAGGTAGCTGCATCTTGAGTTTTTGAAATCCGCCATCATCTCGCCTATCTATACCTTCGCTCTCAGGTCTGGCTGCCTTATGGATTCCCCTTTCCCACCCCCTCACCCCCATTCCTTTTGCACAGGGACTAGTCCGTTTCCCTTCTGTGCCGGATCCGCGCGTGTCGGATCTTGGGTTGGCTTTCCCCGCTCGCGGTTGGCGAACTCCCCCTCCCATTTCAACCTCCTGTCCAGCCAATCCCTGCGAGGCAAAGGGGGGGGGGGGTATGTATGAATATCTTGGGGGCAGACCCCTTTCTGCGCCGCCGCTGCTTCTCCCCGCCCTCGGCTGCCGCTTGCTTGCTTACTGGGGCTGCCACACGGGAAAGGTGTTTGTGTGTGACGGGGAGGAGAAGAAGGGAGAGAAAGAGGGAGGGAGAGAAAGAGCAGAGCTCCCTCTATAAGGCACCAGTTCCTGAGAGGGAAAGAGTAGCATCCTGAGGCTGTCACACGGGAAAGGTGTTTGTGTGTGACAGATAGGGAGAAGAGAAAGAGAGAGAGGGAAGGAGGGAGGGAGAGAAAGAGCAGAGCTCCCTCTATACGACACCAGTTCATGAGAGAGAAGGAAGACGGAGAGCTGCAGCAGAGAAAGCGAGCGAGAAAGAGACACTGAAGATACATAGCCTCCTCCTCCTCCTCAAGCAGCACTTGTTCCTCTCCAACCCCAACTTTCCAAAGGAGAAGGGGGGAAGGGGGGTCTCTTTCGGGGAGGAATCAAGAGAGGAAGGAAGAAGAAGGAAGAGGAGGAAGAAGTGGAGCGAAAGAGGAGGGCTCCTTGGTGGGAAGGCTCCAAGGAGGAAGAGCAGAGGAGAAGAAAAGTGTTCTAGCTTTGCAAGGAAAGAATTCAAGGAGGAACAGGAGATTGGGAAGGCTTCAAGGAGGGAGAAGAGGACTCCCCTTTCTTCCAGCAGCACTTGTTCCTCTCCAACCTCAACTTTCCAAAGGAGAAGAGGAGAAAAGGCTCTCTTTCGGGGAAGAATCCAGAGAGGAAGGAGGAAGAAGCAGAGGGAAAGAGGAGGGCTGCAACTTGCTAAGAAGGCTCCAAGGAGAAAGAGCAGAGGAGAAAGAGAAGGGCTCTAGCTTTGCGAGGAAAGGATTAGATGAAGAAGAGGGGAAGGGCTCTTTTGGCTGGGAAGGTTCCAAGGAGGAAGAGCAGAGAAGAGAAAGGCTCTATCTAGCTTAACAAGTAAAGGATTCAAAGAAGAGGAGAAGAGCTCTTTTGGCTGGGAAAGCTCCTAGGAGGAAGAGCAGAGGAGAAGGGAGGGGGTCTAGCTTTTGAGGAAGAGGAGAAGGGCTCTTTTGGCTGGGAAGGCTCCTTGGAGGAAGAGCAGAGGAGAGAAGGGCTCTATCTAGCTTTGCGAGGAAAGAATTCAAAGAGAAGAAGGGCTCTTTTGGCTAGGAAGGCTCCAAGGAAGCGGGGCAGAGGAGAAGAGAAGGGCTCTAGCTTTGCAAGGAAAGGATTCGAGGAAGAGGAGGGCTCTTTGGCTGGGAAGGCTCCAAGGAGGAGAAGCAGAGGAGAAGGAAAGGGGGCTAGCTTTTTGAGGAAAGGACTCGAGGAAGAGAAGGAGGAGGGCTCATTGGCTGGGAGGGCTCTAGGGGGAAGAGAAGAGGAGAAGAGAAGGGCTCTGGATTTGCGAGGATCCAAAGAAGAGGAGAAGGGCTCTTTGGTTGGAAAGGCCAAAGCTTTGCAAGGAAAGGATTCGAGGAAGAAGAAGAGGAGGAGGGCTCTTTGGCTGGGAAGGCTCCAAGGAGGGTCCAGCTGCAGGGAGGAGGAGGAAGAGGAGGAGGAGAAAGAGGGACCTAGAAGGTGGATCGGAGGCAGAGGCGAAGGACTGGAGATTAGAGAAGCCCTGAAGGCACTACCTGTGAGAGACCTGAGCGGAGACAGGCTCCCGCCATGCAGGGATAGGTAGCCAAGGCCATGCCTTTCCCTGGGCTGCCGCTCTGCCTCTGCCTCCTGGCCCTCCTCTCCGCCTCGTCCTCATCCTCTTCTCCTCCCGCGACGGTGCCGGGCCAGGTCTTCTTCCACCTGCGCCTCTCCGTGGACGAGGGCCTTCCCGCGGAGACTCTGGTGGGCGACCTGAGCGCGGGCCTCCCCGCCGGCGCCTCCCACCCGGGCGGCTTCTTCCTCTCGGAGGCGCGGGATGATTCCGCGTTGCTCTCGGACTTCCACGTGCGGACGGACACGGGCTTGATCCGCACGGCGCGTCCGCTGGACCGGGAGAAGCGGGCGCGGTACAGCTTCGCCGCGGCCACGTTGCGCGGGGAGGTGGTGCAGGTGGAGATCGCCGTGGAGGACGTCAACGACCACGCGCCTCGCTTCCCTTCCTCCGAGGCCAAGCTCGACGCCTCCGAGCTCAGCCCGCTTGGGAGCGTCTTCCGGATCCCCGCCGCGCAGGACCCGGATGACGGGCCTTTCAGCGTCCAGGGCTACTCCTTGTTGCCTTGGGAGGAAGACGTCGTCGATGATGAAGGTCCCTTTTTCCAACTGAGTTACTCCATCCCTTCGGAAGCCTTGGATCTCGTCCTCCTTCGCCGCCTGGATCGGGAGAAAGTCGAAACGCACCGGTTTCTAATCGAGGCTTGGGATGCGGGCAGCCCTCGGCTCAGCGGGCAACTCCGGGTCCAAATCCACGTCCTGGACGAGAACGATAACGCCCCCGCTTTCGGCCAAAGCGAATACAGAGTCCGAGTGAGAGAAGACGCGGCTGTCGGAAGTTCCTTATGCCAACTTGTGGCCACGGATCCCGATTCCGGCTCCAACGGAGAGGTACGTTACAGCCTCAGCCGCCGGCAAGGAGACTCCTCCGCGGCCTCCTTCTTCGCCGTCGAGGAAGACACGGGTTTGCTCCGCTTGAAGCGCGCGCTGGACAGGGAGTCGCGCACGTCGCATCGGGTGGCCGTGGAAGCCCGCGACGGAGGGGCCCAGCCGGAAATCGCCACCGCTTTGGTGGCTCTGGAGGTCCTCGACGTCAATGACAACGCGCCCGAGATCCACGTGCTCTTCCTCGCGGAAGCCGGGGATTCCGTTTCCGAAGGGGCCAAAATAGGAGACTACGTGGCTCGGTTCTCCGTCTCCGATGCAGACGAAGCGGAAAACGTGTCTTTAAGCCTCCAAGGCGGAGAAGGAGCCTTTTCTCTGCGTCCTTCCAGCGCAAGCGTGTTTTTTCTCTGCGTGGAAGGGCCCCTCGATAGAGAGCGGCGTCCCAACTACGAGCTGCTCCTCTCCGCCCTCGATTCGGGTTCGCCGCCTCTTTCCACGACGCTCCCGCTTCTGATCCGCGTCTCCGACCTCAACGACGAGACGCCCGCTTTCCCGCAGCCGCTCTTCCGCGCCTCCGTCTCCGAAGCCGCCTCGCCGGGGACTGTGGTACTCCGCCTCAGCGCCCACGACGCCGACGAGCCCGGCTCCCGCAACGCCGACGTGCGCTACGTCTTGGAGGAGCCCGCTCCCGCCCTCTTCCGCTTAGACCCCGTCAGCGGGGCCCTCAGCACGCGTGCTGCCCTCGACCGCGAGGCCCACCACGAGGCCTTGGAGCTGCGCGTCTGGGCCACGGACCGCGGGGAGCCGCCGCTCTCGGCCTCCTGCCTCGTCCAGCTCCGCCTGGAGGACGCCAACGACAACGAGCCCCGCTTCCAGCGCAGCTTCTACAACGGCAGCATCGCCGAGCACGCCCCGCTTGGCAGGTGCCTCCTCCAGGTGAGTCCCAAGGTCTGTGCAATGACAGGCTTCCCCACCTGCTCTCTCTTGCATCTATCGCAGGCCTGGGCCAACTCCGGCCTTCACAGTGTTTTGGACTTCAATTTCCATTATCCCTAACAGCCTCAGGCCCCTTCCCACATCTACTACACCAAGCATAGGCCAATTTGGGCCCTCCAGGCGTTTTGGACTTCAACTCCACCATTCCTAACAGAATCAGGCCCTTTCCCACATCTGCTACACCAAGCATGGTCAAAGTTGGGTCCTCCAAGTGACTTGGGCCCTCCAGGTGTTTTGGACTTCAACTATCCACCATTCTTAACAGCCCCAGACCCTTTCTCACATTTACTACACCAGGCATGGGCAAACTTGAGCCCTCGGGTGTTTTGGACTTCAACTCCCACCATTCCTAACAGCTTCAGGCCCTTTCCCACATCTACAACACCAGGCATGGGCAAACTTGGGCCCTCCAGGCTTTTTGGACTTCAACTCCCAACATTTCTAACAGAATCAGCCCTTTCCCATGTCTACTACACCAGGCATGGTCAAAATTGGATCCTCCAGGTGTTTTGGACTTCAATTCCCACCATTCTTAACAACCCCAGGCCCTTTCTCACATCTACACCAGGCATGGGCAAACTTGAGCCCTCCAGGTGTTTTGGACTTCAACTCCCACCATTCCTAACAGCTTCAGGCCCCTTTTCACATCTGCTACACCAAGCATGGTCAGTTCGGTCCTCCAAGTGACTTGGGATTCCAGGTGTTTTGGACTTCAATTCCCACCATCCCTAACAGCCTCAGGCCCTTTCCCACATCTACAACACCAGGCATGGGCAAACTTGGGCCCTCCAGGTGTTTTGGACTTCAACTCCCCTATTCTTAACAGCCCCAGACCCTTTCCCACATCTACTACACCAGGCATGGGCAAACTTGGGCCCTCCAGGTGTTTTGGATTACAACTCCCACCATTCTTAACAGCTCAGGCCTAAATCGCTAAGGGGGAAGAGGAAAAGGCCAAAGGCTGTTAGGAATGGTGGGAGTTGAAGTCCAAAACATCTGGAGGGCCCAAGTTTGCTCAGGGTTTGCATACGTTCTGATGGTAGGGATACCAGTAAACCTACCATGCAGTAATGCTTATGGCAGCACATTGAATCTGGCCAAGGTGAAGGATCTCCTCAATCTGAGAAGCCTCATAGGTTGCCTTCAAAGGGCCATTGAATCCTCCATGGAGAGAGAATCAGTGGATACAGAAGACCAACTAAGAACACTTTTACACAGTGGTTCCTGTCCTTTAGTACCCAGTTGGAGTCCCCAGATGTTATCCTATTACAACTCCCATCACTTTGGGTTCCACAATGCAACACACTTGCCATTCCTGTGTTATAAATGTAATTTCCTAATTGGTTCTATAATGGCAGCATTGCCGAGCATGCTCCGCTTGGCAGGTGCCTCCTCCAGGTGAGTCCCAAGGGGAGGGGGGGTTGGTTTTGTGGGACATCCTGCAGCACATTTGGCTCTAGTTTTTCAGTGAATATCTCCTAGAGTCTCAACCAATTCAACATATGTTGTTGAAGGCTTTCGTGGCCAGAATCACTGGGTGTATGGCTATGTTCCAGAAGCATTCTCTCCAGATGTTTTGCCCACATCTATGGCAGGCATCCTCAGAGGTTGAGGGTTCTGTTGGAAACCTGGCAAGTGAGGTTTGTGTATCTGTGGAATTTCCAGGTTGGGAGAAAGAACTCTTGACTGTTTGAGGCAGGTGTGAAGGTTGCATTTGGACACCTTGATTTGAATTAAATAGCCTTGGAGCTTCAAAGCCTGGCTGCTTCCTTCCTGGGGGAATACTTTGTTAGGAGGTGTTAGCTGGCCCTGATTGTTACTTGTCTGGAATTCCCCTGTTTTTTGAGTGTTGTTCTTTATTTACTAATTTTAGAGGTTTTTAAAAATACTGATAGCCAGATTTTGTGCATTTTCTTCATTTCCTCCTCTCTGTTGAAATTGTCCACATACTTACGGATTTCAATGGGTTCTCTGTGTAGTCTGACATAGTGGTTGTTAGAGTGGTCCATCAGGTGCTCTGCTATGGCTGACTTCTCTGGTTGAAGTAGTCTGCAGTGCCTTTCATGTTCCTTGATTCGTGTTTGGGCGGTGCTGTGTTTGGTGGTCCCTATGTAGACTTGTCTACAGCTGCATGTTTTATGAGAGACTCCTGCAGAGGTGAGAGGCTCACTCTTGTCCTTTGCTGAACATTGCATTTGTTGAATTTCCTAAGTGGGTCTGTGGATAGTTTGTAGGTTGTGTTCCTTCATCAGCTTCCCTATACAGTCAGTGGTCCCCTTGATGATTCTATGAACTCCAGGATTCTATGATGTCCCCTGAACTTCCATAAGTCAATGCTACAGCACTCTAGTAGATGTACTATTACAAGGTCTTTCACTTTCTCTGACAAAGAATGTGGTGCCTCTCAAAACTACAACTCCCAGGTCTCCATACCATTGAAGCATGGCAATTAAAATGAGTCAAACTGCATTGATCACATGTGTCAAATTCAGGCTCACAGGCCAAATTCGGCCTTTCATGTCATTCCATGTGGCCCTCCAGATGCTTGACTACAACTTCTGTATTACTCCTCATTAGACATCATGATGAGAACTGATGGGAGTTATGATACAGGAGCATCTGGATGGCTGCAGTTGGTTCTGTTTAATGAGGTTTGAATTGAGATACAAGGCTTGTGGATATGATGCCTGACTTTAAATGAAGCTTTAACCTTTTCCCAGCCTCAGAGCCACAACTGCTGCTGGGTTGCCATTCCAACTGAAAAAAAAAATCTCTTCTTGGTTTGAGAGTGTTATTGTATACAGTAACATTCTTAATTGTACATAGGTACTTACTTTGAAAGTAGTTGTTACACTCCAGAAACTTTGTTTTTGGTGGCCTCAAACTATGCTGCCACAAACTATGTTGAATTGATTGAAACACTAGAAGATCCCTGGTAGTTGCAGCCTTCTTTCCCAAAGAGTGCTGATGCCTCACCGCACTACCATACCATACATACCTGCTAGACCCCTAAGGTCAGGCAGTGAAAAGCTCCTCTCTACTCAGCTGAGGGACAGACTTCACCTAAAAATGGCTAGAGATGGCTCCTTTATGGGTGTGGTACCTAAACTCTGCAACACTTTGGCAGTATCAATCAGGGCAGCCCCCACCCATCTGTCCTTTAGGAAGAACCTTAGAACTTTCCTGTGTGAAACAGCTTTTAACTAATGTTGACAGGAGCCTGGAACTGCATTTTAATCATTTTAACTATTTCTAGTATTTTAGTTCCTTGGGAATTTAACTGGTTTATTATTTAATGATATTTTTATGTCCATTAGGATGGTGGGGGAATTTTTTGCTAGACTTTTATTTGATGGTTATTTTTATATTGTGTAATTGCTGCTGTAAACTGGAGAAAGGTGGTATCGAAGTGTCCCAAATAAATAAATACACTGATAACTTTGTGTGGAAAGCAGTGACCATAATTTTCCCCCAGTTATTTTATTATGTATTTATTTCCAACATTCCACCCCACCCTTCTCAACCCCCGAAGGGGGACCCAGAGTGGCTTACACTGGCAACAATTTGATGCCACAATGTACAAAACAATTATAACAGATATAACAACAATTCAAAACTGTAAACGCCCTACCTGTGGACATCAGACAGGCCCCTTCATTGCTGGCATTCCAGAGGAAGGTCAAGACTTGGCTTTATGAACAAGCGTTTGGCTAAATAGTGCAATGAATACACGAAGATGGTACAACTGAACATAGGATTTGGTAAAAGGATTATGATTACGGATTCTGATTCTGATTTGTTTGCTGAGGCCTATGATAATGATTGTTTGTTCTGGTGTAATTTGTATAATGTGCTTTTAATTGTCTTTTTGATATTGTTGTGATGATCTTTACTGTGTAAACCGCCTTGAGTCGCCATTTCGGCTGAGAAAGGCGGTATAGAAGTAAAGCAAATAAATAAATAAATAAATAAATAAATAAAGCAGTAAGTTAAAAACAATTTAAAACACTATTATCAGCCATATAACCATTTCCAGTCCAGTTCAACCTCCAAAGCGCTGTCATGTCTGATGTCCAAAGGTCTGGTCCCAGAACCATGATTTCAGTTTTTTTCCTAAAAGAAAGGAGCGATGAAGCCGATCTAATCTCGCTGGGGAGTGAATTCCACAGATGGGGGAGGGGGGTCACGACCAAGAAGGCCCTGTCCCTCGTCCCCACCAAACACATTTGTGAAGCTGGCGGGACTGAGAGCAGGGCTTCCCCGGGTGATCTTAGGCTACGAGGTGGAACATAGAGGGAGATATATTCGGACAAGTAAGCTGGGCCAGAACTGTATAAGGCTTTATAGGCCAAGACCAGCACTTTGAATTGTGCTAGGAAATGGACTGGCAACCATTTCCGAGCACAATACAGTTCTCCAGTCAACCACTGTATTCAGTCTCTGCGTTTGGATGTATTTAGTTAACTTGGTCTCTGTCGACAGAACGCTGAGACTGATTAATTGCACATGAATAGCTGACTCCTAGAGACTGTTCTGGGGTTTAGACTGCATTGCAGACATACAGCTTGGAAGTGGTATCTGCCTGCTTATGAGATCTCAGACTAATCGCCTTGTCTGTTGTGGTTGCTTTAGGAATTTTGTGGCCGGCAGCCAGTGCTGGCCCTACCAATGCAGGCAAGCATAGGCCATATGATGATGATCATTTACTCTGCTGGTGTTTTCCTCATGTACTTTGAGGCAGCAGAAGCTGGAGTGAGAGAGGAGCTCAGCCAAGAACGGAGGTAGCAACCAAGTTTGGTCCTATGGTTATGTCTCATTATCAAAATTTCCCTCAGATCCAGGGGCCAAGCTCTCAACACCTATGGAAAAAAAGGACCATCCTATGGAATCCAAGGGACTAAAACAATGTTATAGGGACTGAAAAAACAATGTTAAAAAAG